AGTCGTATTGAGAAAGATGAATTGTTGCGCTTTCTCTGCCCCACCGAAGCGCCTTTCAAAATCGGCTACATACAGATGGTATCAAAACATATACACCCTTTCAAATTCAAATGAACAGTAATCTATTGTAGTAATAAGTAACTTGCATGTTAGACTAATTTTTGATTTAGGCAAAAAAAAGTAAATTCCGTAAAGAACTTATTAAAATTAGTAAAAATGCAAAATTTGGTTAAAAAATGTTGTAAAGCTTAGAAAATATAGCCTTGCGAAGTTTGCATATTTTCAGTATGTTTGTATTACATGCGGAAATTGTTAGCATTTTTGAGCCGAAAATGGTAACAATTTCCGCACGTAATACAAATATACTGAAAATATGCAAACTTCGCAAGGCTATATTTTCTGTATTTTACAATATTTCGCAACCAAATTTTGCAATTTTACTAATTTCATTATGTTCTTTTTATTAACTGTTGTATTTTTAAATTAATTTTTAATCTAATTTAATTTTTAATCTAAGTAAAGAGAAGGGAATTAAAATTCCCTTCTCTTTACTTAGATTAAAATTTAGTCTAACATGCAATTGTCCATTTGACAGCCGTATAATTTCTCGAATTAATCAATGCAGAGTTCAACTGACTACAGAGCAAAGAGTTTTTACTGCGTTACGCGCTGCGTTAAATTAATCAGCACATAATCATATTCATATGTTGAACGTTTCCAAAAACTTTTAAGAGGCAATTTTTTTCAATGACAATGTCACGTATTTGCAAGAAAAAGTGTTCAAAACCTAAAATCTTTTTGGCGTCCCTCTCAAAATTACTTTGTTTTAGCTTTATTCTCTAGTTTATACGGTTGGCAACCTTTTTAAATGTATCTGCCGGTTGAGAAACATAAAATAATAGTTTAAAATTGTCAATTAAAATACAATTATCAATGATGCTTTAAAATTGATGCCATATTTACAGTCATATAAGCAAAACTTACTACAGAACTTCAGACATCATTTTCTCTTTGGCGTATCATCTAAAATCTCTTCATTTTAGCATTATTTTACAGATAAAGCACAAAACATACTTTTTAAGTTTGTTTGCCGATTGAGAAACGTATCGAAAAATAAAAATTTTGAATTTAGTCATAACCTCAAGTGGTATATTATACACATTAGTTTTGAGCGCGTGTTACGTAACATACAAAAAAATCTCCTCTTAAATAACTTCGCATGCATAAAATTGGGTTCAATTGTGTGTCGCATTCATGATTATAGCAACAAGGTGAAATATGAAACTAGTTTTTCGTATCTCGTAGGATGGTTCTGAAATAGAAGGTGAAATTCTAAAGGTTTTTTAGATACCCTGTATACTTCTGTAAATCTTACCTCTCTGTAATAACAGCTTCTTTAACTCGTTTTTCAATGTTATCCATGCGTTTATGCATGTCTCTGATAAATTTATCATCTTTTGGGTTGCCATTTCTCAAATCACCATTTTCCAGCGTGCCATTATGACCTGCGGAGCCGGTCTCTGTTGATTTCAACAGAGATTCATACTCTGACGTCAGCTGGAGTAATTCTTGGAGGTTTTCACTTCTGTTACCGGACGTTTTCTTTAAAGCGCTTTTTCGTGTACCACTGGAGTCTTTTCCCACTTCTCGCAAAGATCGTTCAGCAAGATTTAATTGGGATTTTAAAAATTCCTGCAAGAAATAATATCAATCCTTTAATCAACGTGCATATGTATTAGTAACACTGGATCAATAAGGAATGATCCTTACTAGGCCTCTATATATGGAGAACAGTTTAGAACTGGTAGAGTTATCCAGTATAAATAAAGTTAGTTTAGAACTGATAAAGAACTGATAAAGCTATCCAGTATAAATAAAGTTAGTTTAGTTTAGGTTTCCTCCTGTAATAACACTGGATCAGAGGTGATCCTTACTGGATCTCTAGGAAGAACAGTTTAGAACTGATAGAGCTATCCAGTATAAATAAAGTTAGTTTAGTTTAGGTTTCCTCCTGTAGTAACACTAGAGTCAATAAGAGACGATCCTTACTGGATCTCTAGGGAGAACAGTTTAGAACTGATAGAGTTATCCAGTATAAATAAAGTTAATTTAGTTTAGGTTTCCTCCTGTAGTAACACTGGATCAATAAGAGGTGATCCTTACCGGACCTCTAGGAAGAACAGTTTAGAACCGATGGAGTTATCCAGTATAAATAAAGTTAATTTAGTTTAGGTTTCCTCCGGTAGTAACACTGGATCGATAAGAGGTGATCCTTACTGGACCTCTAGGAAGAACAGTTTAGAACTGATAGCCTTTAGCTATCCAGTATAAATAAAATTAGTTTAGTTTAGGTTTCCTCCTGTAGTAACACTAGATCAATACGAGATGAGATGATTATCCTTACTGGACCTCAAGAAGAACTATCCAGTGTAAATAAAGTTAACTTATTTACCTTCTCAACAGATAAACTAGACATATCGCTTTGGACCAAATTTAATTTCTGAACTGCCGACGCTTTCTCACGATAAGCCTGATCGAGTTTCTCGGCCATGCTGTCATTCTCCTGGCGAAGCCGTGTAACCAAGCTATCCTTCATGCCCGCCGTGTCTTTCATCTCCGAGTACTGTCGTTCCATTAACTCCATAGATCTTCGCGAGGAGTCTAACTCTTCCTGAAAACGACCGAGTTCGATGTCTTTATCCCGGAGTTTGCCTTCGACATCGGTCAGCATTTTGCCATTTTCGAATCTTGCGAAACTCGATCTACTCTCGCGAACATCTCCATTGACTCTCAATTCCTCTCGTAGCTGACGGATAAAAGTGTCCTGAAATCAACAAAAAAAATACCAATATTTTAATAGACCTGGAAAACGTGCTTCACATGTTTCTCGGAACTTGAATTCGTCTTCTTCAAATGTTCTTCGAAAAACAATTCAAAATTTGAATGTACAAAATAAAATTATCTTCAATATAAACATTGAAAAACACGTCACTATCTCAACTGACAGATAAGTATGATTCCTTAATTAATCATCTCCTCAAATGTATGGGTGAAAAATTTTAAATGTTCTTCAAACTTGTTAATAAAACGAGTGTTCCTTAGTACTGAGGAACATTCCTTACTGGATCTCAAGGAAGAACAGCTTAGAACTGATAGAGCTATCCAGTTTATACAAAATCAGTTTAGTTTAGGTTTCCTCCTGTAGTAATACTGGATAAGAGATGATTCTTACTGGAACTCTAGGGAGAACAGTTTAGAATTGATAGAGCTATCCAGTATAAATAAAGTTAGTTTAGTTTAGGTTTCCTCCTGTAGTAACACTGGATCAATAAGAGATGATCCTTACTGGACCTCAAGGGAGAACAGCTTAGAACTGATAGAGCTATCTAGTTTATACAAAGTCAGTCTAGTTTAGGTTTCCTCCTGTAGTAATACTGGATAAGAGATGATTCTTACTGGACCTCTAGGAAGAACAGTTTAGAATTGACAGAGTTGTCCAGGATAAATAGAGAAAGTTTAGTTTCGGTTTCCTCCTGTAGTAACACTGGATCAAGATGTCCTCACCTTGCCCTCGAGTGTCGCTTGCATCTCCAAAACGTCCAGCTCAGAACGCGCGTCAGAACTCGAGGTAATTCCTCCTCCAAAATCGTTTTCCATCGTGTCTCACCACGAACACACAGAAAACCTCTCAGATTCCTTCCTTGTGGAACGTTCACAACAAACACTTGCAACCAAACAAACGCGAACAGTGTAAACTTGTGTGGACAAAAACACAAACTAAAACCGTTGTTATTCCCCAAATAATCTTCCAAAAACAAAGCAACTCAAGTCTTCTACAGTATAACTACTTTCAATTCTTCACTAGCCAGCTAGGAATACTCGAAGCATACTCGCAATACACAACATGCCTTGTTGAAACACTGGAATGTTTTAAGTCTGGACTGACCGAAAGCGTCTCTGGTTTTCACGGCGGAAAAACATAAGCTTGTTTTCATTCCTCGTCGAATAGGATGCCATGCAGCGAGACAAGTTTAGATGCGGCAAGCCATAAATGGAACGCGAGACAGAGTGAACTACCTGTTGATGGAATCCTTAGGATTAAATATGCGAGAGTTCGGCTTGGCGGACAACGGTCACCTGTTTAGGGTGTCATAATATTATTCCTCTCACGCTACAGACATTTGGAACTATTAGCAGTCTCTCTAAAGTAAACTAACTTTATTTATACTGGTCAGCGCTGTCAGTTCTAAACTGTTCTCCCTAGAGGTCCAGTAAGGATAATCTCTTATTGACCCAGTGCTACTACAGGAGGAAACCTAAACCAAACTAACTTTATTTATACTGGACAGCGCTGTCAGTTCTAAACTGTTCTTGCTAGAGGTCCAGTAAGGATCATCTCTATTGATCCAGTGTTACTACAGGAGAAAAACCTAAACTAAACTAACTTTCCTTTACGACAATAGAATCTTCTATCGACAAGTAAAATCGTTTGGTGTTAGACAGAGTAAAGACGCGCACTCTTCCCACAAATCAATTCACGCATGGTTTATTTGTCTGACGTTGGAGTAAATATTTTGCCGTTAATAAGCGCAAATATACAAAATGCTCCTGCATTATACTAGATTCTATGGCATAAATAGTAGAGGAAAGAAGGTTACAAAAAATATATAACATACCTCACAACAAAAGCATCAACTCGAAGCCCGTTTGGACAACCACAGCGTATTTTTTTCTATACAAAATCGTATCCATGCATGCGCCAGCAAGATACATACCTAATCTAAATTTTCTTCAAAACAAACATTATGCTAATTTTTGAATGAAAACGGAAAAATCAGATCAAAGGCATTAAAACATTTAAACTATCAAAATTTATGTATTCGAAAAATAGTTGGAGAACTAATATTTTCAGTGTTTGTGGATTGGAATGAAATATGAAATTCAAATAAAAGTAATTGCATGTCAAAATACTGAAAAAAGAAAATAAATTTTGCTAATGTCTTATGTCTACAGCTGCCTTTTTACTGATAACAAAGTTTTGATTAAAGTTGTATTGGCGTCGCTAATAAATTGGCATTTTACAGATGTTATAAACATGTCACAACAATCAGTGACTGGATAGCAAGGACAATAGTGGGATTTTCAAAACAATAAAAGGACAATGGAAGATTCTGATCACTGGGTCATGACTGGATGACATGGAGAACAGTGAGATTTTCAAAACAATGAAAAGACAATGGAACATTCTGATCACTGGATCATGACTGGATGACATGGAGAACAGTGAGATTTTCAAAACAATGAAAAGACAATGGAACATTTTGATCACTGGATCATGACTGGATGGCATGGAGAACAGTGGGATTTTCAAAACAATGAAAAGACAATGGAACATTCTGATCACTGGATCATGACTGGATGGCATGAAGAACAGCGAGATTTTCAAAACAATGAAAAGACAATGGAACATTCCGATCACTGGATCATGACTGGATGGCATGGAGAACAGTGGGATTTTCAAAACAATGAAAAGACAATGGTACATTCTGATCACTGGAACATGACTAGATGGCATGGAGAACAGTGGGATTTTCAAAACAATGAAAAGACAATGGAACATTCTGATCACTGGATCATGACTGGATGGCATGGAGAACAGTGGGATTGTCAAAACAATGAAAAGACAATGGAACATTTTGATCACTGGATCATGACAGGATGGCATGGAGAACAGTGGGATTTTCAAAACAATGAAAAGACAATGGAACATTCTGACCACTGGATCATGACTGGATGGCATGGAGAACAGTGGGATTTTCAAAACAATGAAAAGGCAATAGAACATTCTGATCACTGGATCATGACTGGATGACATGGAGAACAGTGGGATTTTCAAAACAATGAAAAGACAATAGAACATTCTGATCACTGGATCATGGCTGGATGACATGGAGAACAGTGGGATTTTCAAAACAATTAAAAGACAATGGGACATTCTGATCACTGGATCGTGACAGGATTACATTATTGTTTTATCCAAAGTGCTATGTCAAAATTTGCCTAACGATTCGAGGCTAACATAGCTGTTTGGATAGCCAAGGTTTTGAAGAACATTAACTTATGTTTTTTTATATTCTTAGGTGATGAAGAGGTGAATGGAAGGACATTGAACACAGGGTATCGACAAAGCGGCCAAAACTGGAAACTCCCTGTCGTAAATGAACATGAAGAAAACCTTCACTTGTATGTTTCAGATGCTTAAAAGCTGAATACGCTCTGTATACGTTGTTTAAAACCGCTTCAACACACGTAAAAATCTCACAACTTGTCAACAAGATGTGTTCCCAACAGGCTTGTAGCAAGCTTGTCAACAAGTTGTAAAAATGTTGTTATTTTATCAAGTTGCTACAAGGTTGTCACTCACAACTTGTTGACAAATTGTTGAATTGCAGGACGATAACAAGTTGTTGGAACAACTTGTAACAAGCCTCTTGAGTTCAACAACCTTGTAGCAAGTTGTCAACAAGCTGGGAACAAGCAGTGCGAACACATCCTGTTGACAAGTTGTTGGAACAGCATTGCTACAAGTCGGCCGCAGGTTTGTTACAACTTGTGTGTTTTTACGTGCGTGTTAAAGAGAATTATAATATTTTTAATACTGAAAATAATCTCCTCAAACTCACCTCGGCAATAAAGTTGAGATTTAATTGAACTCGCACCAATCTTGTAAATTGAATCTGGAAAAATGTATATTAATGAGTTACAATTTATGCAGACATGTATTTATTTATATTTTATTATATGTCAAATAAAAAGAATACAATTGAATGTCTTACTTCTTCAATGCTTTCACCAGTCTTGGAAATTGAATCTTAAAAAATGTAAATTGCAAGTTAGGATGCATGAGATTCATTCATTAATGTATGATTATTATACATAGATTTCATTCAATTCAAAATAAAACTGAATGACTTGTTTAGTTGGTTAGTTAGTTATTGAGGTAGTTTCAGAAAGGACTAACTTAGATTTTGATATATAACACTTGAATTTACATGCAATATTGACTGCGCTATTGATGTTTGAACGTTGAACTACTGTTTTTGAAAATGCCAAAAAATAGCATAAAACAACCATATCATTACATAAATAATATCTTTATTTTGGTTGTATATCGCTTAATAGTGCATGTAAATTCAAGTGTTATATATCCAGATCTAAGTTAGTCCTTTCTGAATGCAATGAGCTTTATTTCATTACGATAGCTTTTACGTTACACGAAATCAAACAGTGCCTAGTTTAGTGGGGGACACCCATGCATGGAGTAGTTGGTAATCAAGTTGGTTAGTAAGTATGTGTAGCTATTAAATGTATCGTCTTAGGATGAATATGAAATACATTTAAAAACGCACACAATTTGAAAGCTAGAATTTGTCTTAATTCCTCCCAATATACAATATAGCCCGTAGTTTATCTGGTGGCCTACTTTACTTCTCTATAAATCGTATAGTATTTACATATCTTATATAAGTTCTGTGGCTGGTGCGAAATATGAATGAAGCCTAGTTTACACTGTCAAAATTTCTGTGATCACAGTAGGAATTTTGCATGGGTAAATACTAAATTTTGAAGGATTTTTTGAAAATGTTTGAGGGAACCTGCTCATTTTTTAAACTTAAGTCAATTTCCTCAAGCATTTCTTACAAATCCTTCAAAACTTAGAATTTACCCATGCAAAATTCCTACTGTGATCACAGAAACTTTGATAGTGTAAACCCGGCTTATAAATACAACATGAATAATTTATGCCAGGACAAAGTGAAGTTAAACGTCTCATCCAACTGGTCCTGGGTATTTTGCCCCCACTACCAGGTGATCTCGTGTTCGCATTTTAGCCAATCAGCGCTCAGAAAGGGTTGTCCGAATAGAAATCCATTTTGGTGTATTCAATCAATTATATCTTTC